GAAATTCTGTCAGGACGGCGTTCCTCCCCGCTATTGGATTGATGGGTCCCAATCTCCGTCGAGGATGAATGGTCCTCCTCACTGGTGCTTCGCTTAGTCGATCAAACATGTCTGACCTCTGCCTTTGTTCGCTCGAGCTCTGAGGCACCTGTGCTGTGGCACTGCTGGGACTGATCCAAGTTGTGTCTCCAGATTAGGAGGCACGAAGGTCGAGATTGCCGGCACGTTCGTGGCTTCTTCCACTCTAAGTACTCCTATATCAAAGAATTCGACCTGCAACTCATCTAATAGCTCCTGGAAGACACGAATCATCCAGCCTTGTCCTTCTATGCTGTCAAAGTTTATCCCATCAGTGGTGAATCTGGCCTGATCCATAGCTCTCAGCTCATGTTCTAAGTCCATCAAGATCATTTGTCCAGCATTGCGACTTGCAAGATTTCGCGCAGAATGTTATTCCATCTGATGACCTTTTCATTTTGCCATCTTCCAATAGACGATAGCGTCCTCGTGCTCACCGGTATGGTGCAAATGGTAAGTACATCGCTCTTAAACTTCTGCCATAGCGTGGTGAATAGTCATACCATCATCGACTCCCACTGCGCTTCTTCTTCGTCTGAGCTCCTGGAGACGTTGTTTGTGCCTATCCCGAGCGGCGGTTGCTGCAAGTTCATTGCTGGACTCCGCGTCGATTGGTTAAAACACGCTCGCATGTCCCTATCTGGAACTCCTGTGAAGTCGTTCTCAATCAAGTTGTTCTTCTGTATGTCAAATACGCGGGACACTTTCTTCATGGGCATCATTTTAGTGAGGAGACCTTGAAATTGTTGTGTTCGAATGTGATGTTGTATGTCTGATCTTGAGGATATATCTATCGATTGTTAGTCTATATTTGGGTTACGAGCAATTGCTTTTGTACTTTCTGGTGAGATTTTTTTTATGGTGGAATGAGAGTAGGGTATGGAGTTATAAGATAATATTTATCCTCGTTTGGGTTTAACTGTATTACATTGTGGCTATTTTTAGTGCCACATGGGACAGCTGTATATCAAAAAGTTGTACGTCTTGAAAAAGTATGATCAAAATACAATTGTAGAACATAGAGTTTCTTTTATAACATTTTGTATTATCTTCAAAAACGTACACTGATGATAAGTTTTTAGTATACATGTAGTACCAGAGAATGATTCCTTCGTAGTCATGTTGGCTCTAAACTATGGCATCAGTCGTCTTCTGGATCACATTTTCTGTATTTCATCGGAGTGTTTTATTACCTTAAATTGTGATATCTGCTAATGTAGGTTTTGTTTAATACTTATGCCAAGATTCAAGTTGTCTAATTACAGGGTCAAAGTTTTGGTAATTTTGAAATAATTCTAGTGTTTTTTTCCTGTAACTGGTAGAAAAATGTTTTGAGTTTCGATTTTTGAGAGAAGTAATTTATCTAAGGGGTCTTTTAAATAACATTTTTTTTGTTTATAGTGTATTTCAAATTTAAATCTGAAGAACCTGTTAAATTTATACTTTCTGTTTAGTTTTTATTTTCTATTAAAGTGAATAGGTTTATCCTTTATAATTTTAGCTTAGGTGAGTTTTGGTGTGAGTTGTTTTTGATCCATGATGAGTATGGTATTGGTTTAAATGTAGATTTTCCTAATAGAGCTAATTCGTAAAGTTTATTTTGGCAATCAAGTTATAAAAGAATTAAACCATTATGTTTTCGGTTACAAGTCAAATTAAATTTTGTGTGTTGTCAGGATCGGTTTTTATTGCATATTTGCATTCCAATCGTGGTGATGTAACGTCTTTTACAAGGAAAACTTTATATTTTCTGGTATTTATACGGTTGTTTTCCTTGTTAGTAGTTCAAGTGGTGTGTTTCGACTAAGTGTGTCTGGATATTGATCTAATATTCAAACATTTCGTGTTTTGTTTGTGATTGTATAAAAACATCGTCTATATATGTGATAACATTCTTACTGAGAATGAGTGGTCGGAAAATTTTGAACATAAAGGCTGAAAAAGCAGCTCGTCCTATGAAATTTCCATCAAATTTTCTACTAACTTCGTTTTGTTGGTTTCCAATAACGAACTGAGGTAGGCGTTGTGATTGTTCATCTAATTGCATTTGATTAAAAGCGCTGTTCATGTCAGCTGTCATATAATATTGTCTAATTATTTTAATTAAAATTACCTGGATTGGTTCTATGGGCCAATTACATTTAGATTCATCAATTAGTGAATTGAGAAATCTTGCGTCTAAAACAATTTTCAGTGATTCTGCTTCAGCGCGAACGGTTACAGGGTTCATGAAAGTGTGTCTTTTTGGTTGTACTTCTCTAATTACTGGTGAGATAATTTCATATTGTTCCAGAATGTCTTGTAATCTATTTAATTTGTCTTGTAAGCGAATTGGTACTTTACTTGCTTGCTGCTTTTTAAAAACTGCATCAGGTTTATGAGGTAGGTGTGATGGTGAATTTATTTTTCCAACTTCAAAATTAGATGTAGCATAAGCCAGTAGGTATTTTAGTAACGGTTCTGCTAATTAATCAAACTTGTTGATTAATTTGAGACTGTTGAAAATTGATCTCCAGAGTCCCTGCTCAACCCCAGATTACTTTGCCCAGGACATTACCATGTTTGTGTCAATTAATGGCATATGAACTCATCATGTGTCAAAATGATGTTCGTCCAAATTCGTTTTCCTGACGCCTCCAACAGTGGTTTTACTTCCATCATTACTCGGTGGATTTCGTCACTATCGTCTACTGCATTAAAATATGTTGCTGCTGATCCTTTTTGCTTGTGACTTTCGAAGTCGCATATTTTCCCACTAGCATATCCCATGAATTTGTTTCCCAGAAAGGGCTCTAACTCATTTTTGGCTCTTCCCGGAACTGCGGCAAACATTTTACATTGCAACTCGTAAGATTTTGCATACAATAACTTCATACCATCCGGGAGATGTGCCTATCTCGGAGACAACGGGAATACATATTTGGTGTTTTTTTCGGGAATGCGCCTTCTTTCAACACATCCATTATATCGCCCATTGCTTCCAAACTGTCTTTTATTGCTGACCACACTGCATCTTCCGCCCTTGTAGGCTCCCTGAGTCTGCTCAGGAAACCCCAAGACCTGCAACTCATCTAATAGCTCCTGGAAGACACGAATCATCCAGCCTTGTCCTTCTATGCTGTCAAAATATATCCCATCAGTGGTGAATCTGGCCTGATCCATAGCTCTCAGCTCATTTTCTAAGTCCATCAAGATCATTCGTGCAGCATTGCGACTTGCCAGATTTGTTATTCCATCTGATGAGCCTTTCATTTTGCCATATTCCAATAGGCGATAGCGTCCTCGTGTTCACCGGTATGGTGCAAAAAGTCAGTACCGCGCTCTTCAACTTCTGCAATAGCGTAGTGAATAGGCATACCATCATCGACTCCCACTGCGCTTTTTCTTCGTCTGAGCTCCTGGAGACGTTGTTTGTGCCTATCCTGAGCGGCGGCTGCTGCATGTTCATTGCTGGCCTCCGCGTCGATTGGTTAAAACACGCTCGCATGTCCCTATCTGGAACTCCTGTGAAGTCGTTCTCAATCAAGTTGTTCTTCTGAATGTCAAATACGCGGCACACTTTCTTCATGGGCATCATTTTAGTGAGGAGACCTTGAAATTGTTGTGTTCGAATGTGATGTTGTATATCTGATCTTGAGGATATATCTATCGATTGTAAGTCTATATTTGGGTTACGAGCAATTGCTTTTGTACTTTCTGGAGAGAATTTTTTTTATGGTGGAATGAGAGTAGGGTATGGAGTTATAAGATAATATTTATCCTCGTTTGGGTTTAACTGTATTACATTGTGGCTATTTTCAGTGCCACATGGGACAGCTGTATCTCAAAAAGTTGTACGTCTTGAAAAAGTATGATCAAAATACACTTTATTTTTGTAGAACATAGGGATTCTTTTATAACATTTTATATTATCTTCAAAAGCGTACAATGGTGATAAGTTTTAAGTATACGTGTAGTAACAGAGAATTTTTCGTTCGTAGTCAATGAAATATGATCTATCGTCTGATAATAAAGATCCTGCATAGGGTTTTTCAATACTGCTAATGCAAGTGATTGTAATATTTTTGTACGTACAAGTTCACATATGTGATGAACTTTTTCTGTCTCCGATAGTGACATTTCTTGAAAAAACCTACTTATTGTGTAGTCCAGTTTCATATCTAGGACTATATGAAAATATGTATTATTCATCAGTAAAATTTCTTGTAAACGTGTGCTATCTTCATCTTGTGAGCAAAGTTTTCCACCAAAGTTTCCTGCGTTTTTCAAAAATGTTACCGGGATATATCATTTTTCATCGTTGCGGTTTTGATTTGGGTGACTTGGGTGTATATTCAGTTTTCCTGTTTTCATGTCAAAACCTTTTTAGTATTCGACAAGAATTTCTGAATATAATTTTGAAAAGTAGTGTGGTATATTTACCAGCGACTTCTTTTTCAGGGTAATTTTGAAACGTGTTAGTTTATTTTCCGTAACGTCGATATTTTTATGATCTTGTGGGTTTGATTTTTTCCTATCAGGGTTGATTTTTTCTAACGGAACTGATTCAATAAAATTTTAATGGTGAAAATTAATCATTCTTGCGTTGATTTTAGCAAATTGAAATGTGGTACATGTGTCTTCAGGGAACCAAACAATGGTTAACTGTGTTCGAGTGGTAGGATGGCAATGACTTTCGTCATTTGTACAGGGCAAGCAAATTTCTTGATATAGAATAGTATCACCTTTTAAGTAATGTGTTATTTGTACTTTATCTAATTGATTTTTCTAATCGAAAAACATAATTTCTGGTTATCCTTTATTTTTTGTGTCAGCTTCACAATTAGAGGAATTATGAATTCCAATGTGTGGTATTCAATTTTTGTCATGTAGATCATAAGTTAAACGTCCGTGTGCGCCGTAGATCAGGTATTCAGCGTCTAATTTAATAAGACCTTGTATCTTTTGAGATCTGCTTGATGTGCAGAGTCTGAGCTGACTTCATAATTTACTTATTTGCGACTTGAGCTTTTATCCGTAGTTAATTTTAATCGTGTTAAATCGTTTTCGCAACATCAGGGTTAAAATTCAAGAGTCTTTTGATATTACTTTGATAAAAAGAATCGTGATGGAGCCTATTTTTGTTTCAGCGTGAAACTTGAGAGCAATGTAAATTTTTTCTGAAAAGTTTGCTATGATTTTATATCCGTTTTAAGTGGTAGCTCGAGTGATTGATAAAAATGCTGCTTTTATATTTGTTGATTCTATGTCCTGTGGTTCAGATGCGCCTGGAGTTACTTGATTTTTTGCGTACTTATGTAATGTTTTCTGTTGATTTACTTCGCAATCATAATGTATAACTAAAAAGTCTTTCTTGTGGTCCCGTTCGGTGGAAGTATTTTGATGAGATTTAGGTTCTAAAAGAACAAGGGGGAGAGAGTTTTAAGGAAAAAACTATTAAAAGATACATTTGTAAGATAGTCCTGAAGGCGGGTTGTAGAATGTTATGTATCCAAAAATTTGTTTGTATATCTATCGTATTTATAGATAAATTCTGTCATGATAAATGGAGGTCGCAAAGTTTGAGCTGTTATATTTGGTGGAAGTAGAGGTAGTGCGTGATGAACTAAATTATTTATTTCCACTGATATTTCAAATTTGAGTATTATTTTTTCTTGAGTAAGAATCTGTATATTATCTTCGTATATCTTTGTATATACTTGTGGATGTCGTGTCTATTTTGAAATCGTGTTAGTGTCCAAGTATGTAGTCTACTGCTGTCAACGATGTTGACAAAATAGGGGAGCGTTTGCTACGAATGTATTGCAATCTAATCGTAGAGGAATACTGAGCGCTAAAAGTTCACGATATTTGATTTTGGTTGTTGCTGGGTCGTCTAGTTCAATTAAGGTCTTGTTGGAGGGAAGATTAGATGTTATACGTTGTTTCGTATTGTGGTTTGCTTAGAGGTGCGTGGCCGATTGCTGGTATCAATGGTTCAGATAATGATGCGAGTCTTTCTTCGAATGCATAGATATTTTCTTGAAAAGAAATGCTTGTAGATGATTGAGATTGATTCGTTTGGCTATTTGTTGGTGTTGTTACGGGGGTCTTGGAATGTTGTGGTTGGTGGTTGTTGATTAGCAATTATAGAATATTTCGATTTTTTTCCTTTTTTAGTTAATTTTATGTTGTTTATAGTGTTCTTCTATAAAAATGATTAGGAGGATGGTTGTTTTCTTATGCATTTACAATTTTTCAAAATTAGGGAAACTAGAAAGGTGAGAAAATTTACGAAGAGAAGAAAAATAATTTTGCTTATTAGGTAAATGTCGTAAAATTTAAATAGTTGTTGAAAAATTGTACCTGAGGAGGACGTCAAGGGTTTTTGAGAAGGTACAGTAGGCTTTTATGCGGAAATGGATAACTACAAAGAAGCTGCAAAAAATTATGACAAGGAGAAATGCTATTTCTAAAGTATCTAAGATGAAAAAAATACAAAGTTAGAAAAATATTTCAAAATCTGAAACATTTATTTTAAAATATTGAACTGGTCGAGAAAGAAGCACTTGAGAAAGGATTTGGTTTGTCAAAACATTTTTTATTTTTTCGAGTTGAAAATGAGTGTGGTCAAAGTTTTTTTATTGGTTTTTGACAAGTGGGTTGGATAAAGGCAATTTTTGGTAAAGAAAAGTCTGGAGGTCTAGGAATGAGCTTCCTAGTTTTGGTTTTATTTATTAGATGGTTAGGGGATTTATTAATTGTTTTTTATGTTAGGGGTTTTGTGAAGTTGAATCGACTTTAGGCTAAGTCATCATGTCGGGTTTTGTCTTTAGGCTTATTCATTATTTTTCCTAGGGGGAAAAGAGTTTTATAAAATGAGGCGATACTGTTGATTTTTGTACATGATGATAGATGAGGGTTGCAACTTCTATATTATGTTCATTTAAATTGTCAAATACGAGCGTATTTTTGACCTGTATGTATTTTAGTTACAGCTTCATATCTATTTGAAATTGCAATTTGTCAGCTAGTGAAGTGGTGTCAAAGTGGGGGTGATGTTTCGAAATGATTTTGATTGGTTAAAGTTGAACTCGTTTGTTCAATTAATAAAGAAAATGATATAATTCAAATTGATCTGAGTTTCATGATTGTATCTTTAATTGATCAGAGGGGGTTTTCTGAAGTTCAACTTTCTTCAATATTTTAGATTGAGGACTGAAAGTTTTATAGTTTTTTCGTGGTTGACCTCGGAGTCGAGATGATTTACGTTGTTGTGATTTTTTTGTGGTTTCTTGTGGTAAAATTTTTTCTTCTAATTCGCGATTAAGACTTTGTTTTTGAGGTATTTTTTTTTATTGATCACTGTACTTTCTTGTTGAGTGGTTTTAGTTATTTGTTTTTTTTTGTTTTTAGTAAAATTGATGAATGATTTAAATGTTGGTTTGTTTGTTGGTCATTTTTATCTGCGTATTATTTTGGGTAAACACAAAAAATTTTCTATCTTGTACTATTTCTTTTTTGTTAGAACCAATAAGTTTATATGTAACGTCAGTGGGTTTTTCAATTTTTTGATATGGTATTTTTCGGCTAGGTTGCAATTTTTTATATATTTCTCTTTGTGTTACAAAATTTGGGATTAAAACATTGCTCAATGGTGGCCTGTGTGAAACGTGAATTTATTGGTGATTGAAAGTTTTGTCTTTGTAATAGCTTTTTGGCTTTTTTTTGATAAACTTCATTGTGTTTTTATTTCGGTTTACAATCTATTCTGTATGTGTTCCATAGGCTAATTTTAGGGTTTGTGGATGATGAAAATTATCTTCATTGTGTCTATGTAATGCTAAATTACAACAAATTGAATCTTTAGAAGCTTGGTAATAACTTTGTTCGTTCTTTGAGGAGTTTTCCTTGATTATTGAATTCCGCGGTTTTTGATTGAAAACCGTTTTATATGGTGATAGTCTTAGAATTGTTGTAATTTGTGAATTATAAGCTAGTGGAAATAGTTTAACGTCAGTTGAACAGTTGTTGTATATACTATTGTTTCCATTTATGATACATCAAAGATAATCCTGTAGGGAGCGGTTCATACCTGCGACTAAACCATTAGTCCATACGGCATGGTTGTTCGAAATTTATGCTTATTATTATAAAGATGGCATAGTGTGATGATTTCATTATTTATGAGTTCAGTGCCATTGTCTGTAACAAGGGTTTTGGTAATCCAAATTTGGCTATCCAACGTTCGTAGAGTGTTGTGTATGCAAAATAAGCATTACAATGGGGTACAGGGTTGAGTGCTACGAAGTGGGTAAATGCATCAACTATTACCATTTTGTATGAATTTCCTTCTGAGGAGGGCAATATAGAGTATTTTGTGTCGAATGATAATCTGTGGTTAAAATATCAACTTTGTCCTTCATAGCCTTGTTTTTCTGCCAATTGTTTTTGATGTGGGTATGGTTTATTTAAATGACATGTTTTGTAATCGTTACATGACCTTTTTATCCAAATTGGTGCATTTGGAAAATAGAAATTTTGATTGAAGTTTGAAAAAACTTTTCCTGATCCTATATGTCGTTTGGTATTTATGGAATGTGAGATGTGAAAGGCTAGAAGTATCATACTCAAAGGTAGACAAGGTGATTTTGTTTCTGGTGTTTGATATTCCAAAAGGTTTTCATTCTCATTTTTTGTTGTGTTTTTGAATTTTCTGAATCATTTAGGGAGTGTTTTATTACCTTAAATTGTGATATCTGCTATTGTAGGTTTTGTTTAATACTTATGCCAAGATTCAAGTTGTCTAATTACAGGGTCAAAGTTTTGGTAATTTTGTAATAATTCTAGTGTTTTTTTTTCCTGTAACTGGTAGAAAAATGTTTTGAGTTTCGATTTTTGAGAGAAGTAATTTATCTAAGGGGTCTTTTAAATAACATTTTTTTGTTTATAGTGTATTTCAAATTTAAATCTGAAGAACCTGTTAAATTTATACTTTCTGTTTAGTTTTTATTTTCTATTAAAGTGAATAGGTTTATCCTTTATAATTTTAGCTTAGGTGAGTTTTGGTGTGAGTTGTTTTTGATCCATGATGAGTATGGTATTGGTTTAAATGTAGATTTTCCTAATAGAGCTAATTCGTAAAGTTTATTTTGGCAATCAAGTTATGAAAGAATTAAACCATTATGTTTTCGGTTACAAGTCTGTGTGATGTAACGTCTTTTACAAGGAAAACTTTATATTTTCTGGTATTTATACGGTTGTTTTCCTTGTTAGTAGTCCAAGTGGTGTGTTTCGACTAAGTGTGTCTGGATATTGATCTAATATTCAAAAACATTTGGTGTTTTGTTTGTGATTGTATAAAAACATCGTCTATATATGTGATAACATTCTTACTGAGAATGAGTGGTCGGAAAATTTTGAACATAAAGGCTGAAAAAGCAGCTCGTCCTATGAAATTTCCATCAAATTTTCTACTAACTTCGTTTTGTTGGTTTCCAATAACGAACTGAGGTAGGCGTTGTGATTTTTCATCTAATTGCATTTGATTAAAAGCGCTGTTCATGTCAGCTGTCGTATAATATAGTCTAATTATTTTGATTAAAATTACCTGGATTGGTTCTATGGGCCAATTACATTTAGATTCATCAATTAGTGAATTGAAAAATCTTGCGTCTAAAACAATTTTCAGTGATTCTGCTTCAGCGCGAACGGTTACAGGGTTCATGAAAGTGTGTCTTTTTGGTTGTACTTCTCTAATTACTGGTGAGATAATTTCATTTTGTTCCAGAATGTCTTATAATCTATTTAATTTGTCTTGTAAGCGAATTGGTACTTTACTTGCTTGCTAATTTTTAAAAACTGCATCAGGTTTATGAGGTAGGTGTGATGGTGAATTTATTTTTCCAACTTCAAAATTAGATGTAGCATAAGCCAGTAGGTATTTTAGTAAC